GCTCTGCTACTTCACGGCGTAGTTTTCCTACGGGATTTACCAACGATAAACTACAGGCAGGTTAATTATTGAAACACATCCTTTGGCAAGAAGAACTTATATATGCCTTGAGAAGGAAAGCATTAAAAGATAACAAGAAGAGAATATTGGGTTCAAGGTCAGAGGTGAGGCTGATCTGTGGGCTGCCCTAATAAACAATGAGTATGTTAGGATGGGCAACTACAGTTGCCAGCAGCAGCAGCAGCAGCAGCAATGGGCAACAATGTTGCCAGCAGCAGCAATGGGCAACAATGTTGCCAGCAGCAAATAGAGCAATCGCATTTCTGCTGAAAAGCAGACAATAATAAGGCAAAGCCAAAAGATTCCTATCCGCTGAGAAGCAGAAGGGTTAAACAGATTCCGGCTGAAGAGCCGTCCTGCCATAATTTTGAATATTGCCTAAGTATTAATGATTGCAGCCCACAAGATACAGGACAAAAGCACTAAGGGGCTAAGCCCACCTAAGACCATGAACCAGGAATCAAAATTCCTTCCCTCACCAGCCATTTAATAATGGAAATGTAATACTTACGCTAATGCTGTACTTACGTTATTAGTTAGGATGCATTACAGATAGGGCACAAGGGCTTCGCGGATGGCCAGAGAAAACTTACACAGACCTTCAGCAAAATTGCACCAAAATGAGCAGACAATTTATCTGCTGCGTTTTCCTGAAATTAGTATCGGGAGTGCTATTTGGAACAACATCATCCGGTTCGTGCACCGGGAGAAGGAGTGAAGACTCAACATACCGTAGACAGGGGTCTATGAAAACATTCTGTGTTTCGTAACTCACCCGACGCATTTGTTGGTGAAGCCTTCGTCGAAGACTCAGTTGTTTTCCTGACTTTTCCGCCGTTCCGCACCAACCTGTGATTTGTTGCCGCTCTTCGTTTTGGAGGCATACCGAGTGCATAGTCGCAAATTCGTAGTAATCCAAACAATAACGCCAGGAATCCCCACGCTTGAACAATATCAAAGCCTAACACTAACTGCTCGACGAGAAAGCGGAAATATAACTTTTTTGCAAGCGAAAATATAACTGAATGCAGGATACAAAGAGGATAGACTAACTGTGTGAATCTAAAAGAAATCAATGGATGAACAAAAGATGACGTCATCAGAAGTCGACACATGACGTCATAGGAATTAACATAACTGGAAGTGACGTAAGCAAACATAAAAGAGCGGGAAGAATGAACTGAAAGTAAGTGTGAATGGTTTCAATAAACGCATTGAGTGTTAAGCACTAAATGAGATTATGCAAAAGAGACAGTAGTGTTTCTTTTAGTTTTTATTCACAGCGGGCCAATCACACTGCTATGTCTTGTAAAGCACATCCCATTTTATATCACTCCTTATATGGGCGTGAGTGGGCATGGTTTTACACCGCTTTAAGCAGTATTCCGACAGTATTACAGCGGACACAAAACATGGGCATCAAACCATGTGCCTATGTGCGGAATCGAACCCGAGACATACATCATATATTTACTTACAATAACCTTTCTGTAGATCGATGCTCATGCTTTTCATCACAGGATTGTCTGGTCCAGATTCCATTATTTATAGTATAGCTGGAATATAGCTGAAAAGTCACATCTTTTTAGTGACCTTTGTAATTTTTCTACTGTTCTGTCTTGGACCCAATGTACAAAGCCATCTTAAGTTACGGTTACTCCCATATTCTAACATGGACCTAAGATAGTCGTTGTGCTGAGATCGCTTTGTGCATGTGGGTCCAGTTCTGGTCTGGCAGGGAGAGCCCAGGGGTGAAAGCCCCGATCGTGAAGCTGAAGGCACGCGTTCGACTCCAAACAAGGGGAAGCCTGTTTCAACTACAGCGGCAGTGTCGGAATCGCCCTGTAAAGTCTGACCTCTTTCCTTCATTTGACCGATATTTCTGAAACCATATGTGGAATCTGAGGAAATATTGTTTTTAGCCTACAAAACATGAGTCACTGAGTGAGTGAGAGTGAATCAATTGATTTCATTGATGATAAGCAAATATGTGACCTGCTCATCCGACTACTGCTCAAAGATGGCAAGTGATTGGTATCCGGAAAGCTGTCATGTCTCTGAGAGTTATTGCAAGAGATGTTGGTTGTCATCCATGGATTATCAGCCGATTGGCCAGAAAACATCAGCATACTAATAGCGATAAGGACGTGAGCGGTCAGGTTGACCACGAGTCACAACTCCAAGGAAATATACAACCCTTCCCAGAATCACAAGACCTCAAGTGGTGTGTTAAAGTGGTGTGTTAAATCAGGGTGGCTTCAACATCGTCGAGTGTCCAACACGACGGTCCAAAATCGTCTAAAATCGGCCGGGTAGAGAGCCAGACGACAAATCAGGCGTCCGTTGTTAACCCGTAAGAAGCGACTAATGGGATTGGGTGGTCAGCCTCGCTGACTTGGTTGATGCATTTCATCGTATCCTAATTGCTTTAGATCAATGCTCACGATGTCAATTACCTGATGTTCGGGTCCAGACGTGCTTATTTGCAGACTGTCGTCCCATAGCTGAATGTTGCTGAGCACGGCGTTTAGCAACAAATAAACCAAAGCCATACTTCCATGAACCCGTGAAGGTCCTGGTTAGAATATTGATCTCCATCACTCACTCACTCCGTGAGTACCAGTACAGGTGAAGGGAAACAACCCTTTAAGCTTCATAGACAAATTGTATGAAGCGCACGGAAAATCTTACCAAAAGCCATATCTAGTTCTGAAATGCTATTCCCCACTCTCACATTATATTATCAGGAGAAAAAGTTTTCTTTAGACACACACCTAACGTCCACCATACATAAAACCTCAGCCTCCAAAACACCATACCATACACCTGAATTTCAACACCACACTACCAAACTGAATGCCATCATCACACACCATATACGTACAACACCACCCAAACCCAGTCCACACCATACCACAACACAACACAACACAACACACAACACAACCTCACACCACACAGAGTTAACATACCTACATGCATGCATACATATATACCTACATGCATGCATATGTATACATACATACATACATATGTATACATACATACATACATATCATACATACATACATACATACATACATACATACATACATACATACATACATACATACATACATACATACATACATACATACATACATACATACATACATAATGTTCCATACGTTGCTGCTATTGGTTCTTGAAGGCTACAAGGGACACTTTTACGTCCTTGTATTCTGGTCAGGGCCTCCTTTCAAAAAACACCCAGGTGATCGTAAGTCACTAAGGTAACCTTAGTGCAATATTAAAGAATGGGAATTAAGGTTAACCTTAGTAAAGGTTGCTTCGTGAAAGGAGCCCCAGGTTGACCTGAAAAAAGTGGCTAGTATACCGTAGTTTCGCCCCATATTGTTTGTGTGCCGGAGGGTGTCAACGGTTCCACGTTGAGGGGCCAAACATCATGTTTCATGTAGGTCAACCTACTAGTGACACATTTGGGTATGATAGTCATTTGTCATGTCTTGATGTGACTCTTAGTGTCTGCCTGACCAAAAGTGACGAAAACTGGCCAAAACGGTTGAGGTCTGGTCATGAACGTGTGAACGTGTTTTATGGATGATATTAGCCGCTAGGCATATCTGAATGTAAACACATACAGTTTATGACATGAGGTAAATATTTTTACACTTAAGCTACCTTTTGACAAGAAATTTATTCAATTTTGGTCTTGTGAATAACATTGAATTTAAGTGAAAAAAGGGTAGTGGTTTTTAAGGACAGACCATTATGGGTGATTTTCTGTGCGCTTCAAACAATTTGTAGATCACGTCCACGAAAACCGCTTGGCCAAAAATTTACATATAGTTCTCTACTTATGCAGTCGTAAATTCAATGTTTCGGACACTTAGTAAAATATCAAATTGTGAAAAAGATCAACTGATGAAGCTTCTCCGATATTATGTTAAACATGTTCCTAAGATTATCTTAAAGATAGCGTTTGAAAAGAATCTTTCTCCAGATTTCAAACAGTACGATTTTTCTGGGGTTATTTTTGTGTGTCTTCGATCCGTGGCAGGGAGATTCGATCAACCACTTGTCTGTCTGACCTAAACCAGGATACTATAAGGCACTATGTAACCCGGTAATGGAAAATGTACAACATCTACCATACCCCTGAAGATCCGGGTTAGAATTTGATCTTCAGTGACCCATGCTTGTCGTATAAGGCAACTTACGGTTCGCTGACTTGGTTGACACATGTCATTGTATTCCAATTGCGTAGATTGATGCTCAGGCTGCTGATCACTGGATTGTCTGGTCTAGGCTCGATTATTTACAGATCACCGCCATATAGTTGGAATATTGAGTGCGGCGTAAAACTAAACTCACTCACTCACTCACCCAACTACCATCACTCACGCTGATTATCTGGAGCAGTTTGACGTGGCATGAGCCTCAATAATCCCACTGGACCCAACAGCAGAGTCGTGGTGATTTAATGAGCTTGTCCCGGAATAACACGAGTTGGCCACGATGGTACACAGGCGAAGGGAACGATTCGTTTCACGTGTTAGAACATCCACCCTGTTCTGTTAGGTATCCGTTTGACAGATGCTTGTCCCAAGAGGCGACTAACGGGATTGGGTGGTCAGGCTCGCGGACTTGGTTGACACATGTCATTGTACCCCAATTGTGAAGATCGATGCTCATGCTCTTGAACACTAGATTGTCTGGCCCAGACTCGGAATCAAAGATTATACCGTCTTTGCTGGAATATAGCTGAGTGTGGTGTTAAACAACCAACGCAACCAAATCTTCGCATTTATAACATGTGCCAATATCAAATTATTAAGTCCCTGTCCACCATTTTATGATTCTGGTATAAATATACATATTTACATTTGTTCAATTTTCGGTCGCCATTGGCCACATGAAAGTACAACAAATATTTGCAATCTTTATCAAATTGTTTTATTGGCACTTGCATGCTGATTTGTACACCGACATGACGCATTGTTCAGAAGTGGAAACATTCATTACAGACAAAACACTGTTTGTGTACAATCGATGGTCAAACACTAAAGGAAACGGTAATACTGAACAGAAATTCATGTAACTAAATATACGAGCCAATCCCAGGCCGGGATTTCGTGTATCCTAGCAACAACCTCTTCCTCGATACACAGCCGCAAAACAATGTACACGAGATTCCAGTATATAAACGCTTAAAGCTTCTCTATCATCAAACAAAGTCACAATGATTTATGCAGCTTCCAGGGCCCAGGGCCCACTGTATAAACAGTAATCATTTGTACTTTGTTGGATACATGGATATATATATACTACACATTTACAAGGTCTGCAATAACGATTCACTTAAGCAACATACAGTACTTGAAACTAATCTCGTTGCAGCTAGCGCGTTGTATGTTTTGAAATAAAGCTATCTTTGGCGATAAAGAAAATCGTTTCCATAAGGAACAGCAAGTTTTATCCACTTTGATATTATTAAAACTTAAACTGCTATGTAATAAAGCCAAAGGTTCACACATATATAAGTCCTTGATATACACAACAATAACCAATGGCCTATATCTTCTCCAGTTCAAATCAACAGTCAGTTCCTTGTAACATGTTTGGTAAAATATGAACATCAGTAACTCCTTGTTATTATTTTGATTGATTTCTCAAAGTAATAATTAAACCGTGTGATTTGGCCATCAACAACATACCTGCATGGCGGTCTCCCTAATTGTCTCATTGCGCAGCACTTTCCTCGACACAGTATATCATTTGCATGTGGATAGCATGTACATTTACATTAATTGCACTTTAACAATAGAATTATTCTCTGAAACAACACATAATTTGCATCTCTGACTAGAATCATTAACACGCCTATAACACGGTGGCAAATTCTAACACAGCTGACTGCGTGAGTGCACTGGCTCATGATAGAGAGTATATAACATCTGATTCTGAGAGGAATTCCTGCTTTCATTGCTAGGATGCAATATATGTCGCTTTTCATGTTTACGGACCCGTAAAGAACTTAGAATTGATCTTCAGCAACCCGTGCTTGTCGTAAGAGGCGACTAACGGGTCGGGTGGTCAGGCTCGCTGACTTGGTTGACACATGTTATCGTATCCCAATCAAGCAGATTCATGCCCATACTGTTGATCACTGGATTGTCTAGTCCAGACTCGATTATCTACAGACCGCCGCCATATAGCTGAGTGCGGCGTTAAACAACCAACCAACCAACCAAGCATGTTGCACGTATTCTATACCAGTGAGGCGCCAAGGTGGTTCAATTGTCGAAGGAGCTGCATTATCTTGCAGAGTTGTCTCATAGGCTCTATGATCGTGGGTTTGAATCCTGTCCCGCTAAGAATGCGTTTAAAGATTTATATACCCATGTTCAGGTTTCAACCAAATATAAACCTACAATATCTGCATCACTTCAGGAACTTTCGTAAGAAAATGACAGGGTCTGATATTTGTGGAATATTGTTTAAATCATCACCAAACCTTACTCACTCACTCACTCACTCACTCTGTGGGAATATCCCCAGACAGAATGGGTCCCCATATCCGATGACAGTCGCAATAGAATTTGGTGATGACCATGTTTGACAGAGTGTTGGGGCGTCAGTGTTAGTTGCCACATGTGCTGAAGGATTCGTCTACACTCGTGACCAACTCGTGTTATTCCGGGACAAGCCGAATAGCTTGGAGGTTACGGAAAGGGGCGAGTGGTGACGAATGGGTTCGCCTACGGTAGGGTGGTTGTGTTGCGATTTAACAAAGTTTCCAGAAGGGTTTCAGCAACATGGCAGCTGCGAACACAATGTGCGGAAACGTGGTCTCGGTACATAAACATTTTGGCGGCCATAGGCTGAACGTTAGACTTGGTGCAAGTCTTGAATTCCATCAAACAACACCAGGATCATGATACCAAAGGGACATAACTCTCCAATGAGTGGCTCGTCTAGCTGTAAATTGTTCTAACTCAAAAAGAGTTATTTTTCTGATTATTGAATTTTGTGGGGAATATGTACTTGCTTTTAAAAGTATTATCCTCGTAATACAAAGTTATCTACCCTGAATCATAAGGATGCACTACACAGTGTGGATACCCATACATACATATATACACATATACATAATTTGTCAAGCATGTAAACTTGTCAAGTGATTCCTGAAGAATTTCAGACATACAATTAGAAATGGTTTAAAGCTTTAATTTTGTCTTTTGCCCAATCAATAGTTAACATATTGCTCTTGCAGAATAGGACTAAAATTTGAAAAAATATAAACAGTCGATCATGACAATAGAATACAACTGTTTACATTTCACCACAAATCAAACTTCCGCAGTTTTGTTCTGGAATCATAGTCAAGTCTACATACCAAATTTCAACAGTAGATACAAGTAGCGTAAATGTACAATATAATATGACATATTCTGAATTCAGCACTATAAGCTTTTGGTGATCTATTGAAGCAGTTTTGATTCCATGCTCAATAGCTATCATGCAAACTTCAAGAATTAATTGCATATAATTATGCTGCATTAATGTTATATAGCAACTTCTAACATGGCTTCAGTATACACAATTCACAGATATTCAAATATAGAGTAAATGACAAAGGCATCCAAATCATGGTGTTGTTTAATTGTGAAACTTATTATTTTCATTATCTCATACACATCGGCAAATTTCACAGGATACCTCATGCTTAGCCAGAACCATTGAAAGGGAGGTAACTCTTATAGGCTTATTCACCAAACTGCGTCCTGGGTGCCGTTGTACAAAACAACCTTAGCGCAAGGCTACCTTAAGCCTATGTTAAGGTATGGGAGTTACGGTCACCTTAGCGCTAAGATCGCTTTGTACAACGGCACCCAGGCGACTTTGGAAAAGTGTAATTTGTGTTGTTTGAGAATGGAACAGCCATAACATTGAGAAAATGCTGTTTTTAATATTCTCAGGTGCATATATAATCATAATGAATGCTTTTTAAATAGATTCTAATTCTACTGACATGGCACATTGTATCTATTATGCATTATGGACAATCAGATGGCAATGACTTCATATGCCAGAACTGATTTCTTGTACGTTCTGTTTGGTTAAACACCAAGAAACCCATCACAAGGGTTTTCTAAAACATGTGATAATCATAACTTAATTTTCATCATACACAAACGCACACAATGATAATATTTGTGTCATCATTTCTTTTGAAATACACAATGGCATTTTAGAAAGTGTAATCCCAAATATAATATATGTTATCATTTCTTTTGTAAACTTCTTTTCATGATTTATATATCCATAATCTTCTGTCAACCAATGTTGGTGTTGAACTGAATGTCTCTTTAAAAAATAAAATAAAGTTTAAAAAATAAACAACATACTATCACATATTAAGCAGACAAAAGATGTTATCTCAGAATGTAACAGCGCCTTGATCATCTCGGAATTCATTAACAAGTCATATTTAACACAGCCAGGCAAATGTTCAAGTAGAATACGACCTTAAGTCCTTTAATTAAGAAAAACAGGCAAGAGTAACTGTCTTGAACTCCAGCAACACTGGAAAATATTCTCTTCAGAATTTTCTGGAATCCTGAAGAATACTCCTCTCCACTACAAATAATTTTCTCAACACTGACAAACAGTATCACAAGAGCAGCAGTTTTCAAAACTCGACAGGTTTCTGCCGATTCTGTACGTTCTAAGCACTCATGTCGTAATCAGGGGAAGTACACCCTGTCTGAAGCTCCACAGAAGAATTTGAATATTCATAAATACGAGAAATTCCGTATCCATAGCAACTGTGCCACTGTAACATCATGGCCGTCTGAAATGAGAAAGCAAGTTTATTGGATTGACCAGAATGAAATATATTGGCACTGATATTATTCTACATCTTTATTGGATATGAAGTATTGATTTAGTGTTTATAGTAAATATATTTTTATACATTTGTCATAATATTAATATTGGAAATAATATCTGTTTTATTCATGGTATTGACATGTACAGGTCAAAATGATTATCCTTTCGGAAATCACTTATTGTTAATATGCTTCTAGTCTTATCAAATATTTTGGTAAAATCTTAACATTCACATTAAATATAACTAGTTATATTAAAATGGCCATTTATTGTTAGAGATCATAAAATGTATGTGTATCTTTTAAAATAAATAATTATAAATAAATAATAATATAATATATAATATAATGATATATTAATGTAATAAAATGGCATACCATTCATTCACTGTGCAGTAACATGAGCATGCAGATTATACATACATACAGGTGCTATTACACATAACACTGAGCTTAATTATTTCACACTATGTCTACGTGTAAGTAGCATCCTGGCTTTCCTCCCGCTCTCGCATCAGCGGTGGGGTAGTCTAGTGGTTAAAGCGTTCACTCGTCACACTGAAGGCTCAGGTTCGATTCTGGGTACAATGTGTGAAACCCGATTCTGGTGTCCCCTGCTGTGATATTGCTGGAATATTGCTAAAAGCGGCGTAAAACCATACTCATTCACTCACTCACTCCTCCCATCATCAGTAACACTGTTATATAACTGACATGCAGTTGAAGCAGTCTTCATCTAAACCCGTCACTCTGTGAATACGCACCCTATATCCAAGGATAACTTACCTGGATTATTTAATGCTCGAAAATTGTTTTTTCTAGGTATGGGCAGATACATTTTGGGGAAAAGTTGGAATACATCTTGTGAATTGGTAATTCACAATCTGTAATCTTTATCACCAAATGTGTAAGTTATTGTGTTGTTTTATGTTTCTCATATATACTTCACACAAGCTTGCACTTGACACACGATTGGGGGTCAAGCTTGCACTCGACACACGATTGGGGGTCAAGCTTGCACTTGACACACGATTGGGGGTCAAGCTTACACTTGACACATGATTGGGGGTCAAGCTTGCACTCGACACACGATTGGGGGTCAAGCTTGCACTTGACACATGATTGGGGTCAAGCTTACACTTGACACACGACTGGGGGTCAAGCAGATTATACATACACTTGACACACGATTGGGGGTCAAGCTTGCACTTGACACGATTGGGGTCAAGCTTGCACTTGACACACGATTGGGGTCAAGCTTGCACTTGACACACGATTGGGGGTCAAGCTTGCTCTTGACACACGATTGGGGTCAAGCTTGCACTTGACACACGATTGGGGGTCAAGCTTGCACTTGACACACGATTGGGGGTCAAGCTTGCACTTAACACAAGATTGGGGGTCAAGCTTGCACTTGACACACGATTGGGGGTCAAGCTTGCTGACTTGGTTGATGCATGTCACTGTATCATGAATGCGTAGATTGATGCTCATGATGTCCGTCACTGGATTGTCTGGTCCAGACTTGATTATTTACAGACTGGTGTCATATAGATGGACTATTGCTGAGTGTAGCATAATCAAACAAATGAATAAAAACAAAACAAATATTCTATTTTCGGACAGTTTGTTATCTACAACAGTATGGTACCGTTATTGTTACACCATGTCACCCACTCCTGATCTGAAGATCCCTGGAGGTCCCAAAGTCAACACAATCTGTGCTTGTTGTAAGAGGTGCCAAACTTGAAGATGCTTGATGCTCAAAGTTCAATATTCCGCTTAAAACTTTCTAAAGTTCAATAATCACTTAAAGTAGCTCCGAAAGAAGCAAAAAGCCAAATTTTATAAACAGGGCAAAAAAAATCTTTGGACATCAAGCCTTATTTGAGCTACAGTAATCGAGTTTAGGCTTTAAGCCGCTTTTATCAATATTCCAGCAATATCACGGCAAGGGACACCAGAAATGGGATTCACATATTGTACCCATGTGGGGAATCAAACCCGTGTCTCTAGTGTGACGAGTGAACACTTTAACCACTAGGCTACCCTACCACCCCTGAAGTTTTAGAAAATCTGGTCAGGTGACCAAGTGCTAAACTGCATTAAAAATCCAGAGGGAAAGTTAAACAATGCAGACAATGAATGCCCAATTTAAAAAATAAATAAATTGATAGCTGATCATTTCATTGATGGTGTGATGGAAAACACCTGTCCTTTGCTTCAACACAGGGGATAAATCTCCCTGCGGCCTACAGTACATTAATAAATCAGTCAAGTCTGGAATTTGAAACCTGTCAAGGTACTCCAAACAAAAGGAAATATTTACAAGTATTTGAAATGTGACGCAAACTAGCCCCTCAGGTCAGCATGACCTTGAGATTGTCCCCCTAACTGACCTTGGGATTACAGACTGTTCTGGGTGAGTTTGGTTCAGCTGCATTAAACTGCTGACTATAGATTTGAACTGAAGGTAACCCTCTGATGACAATGGTTACAACTGGGGATCAATTATTTATTCATTCCATTTCTGAGAAAATTGATTATACCAGAGACCACATAATCTGTTATATGGTCTCTGATTATACAAGAAAAACTGTAAGATGCAATTTGAGGCAGTGAAATCAATTAGAGCTGAATTTGTTTGCACTGAATGAAGACTGAATTACCCAAGAGCTTTTAACTGAAATAGTACTGATGTCAATAAATTTATTAATTGTGAAAGCATTGTTTAACAGTAAATGCGCATCACTGTTTTACATAATAATTCAGTTCTTGGGAGTCTGTGTTCATAATTCTTAAAATATTCAATTTCTGTTGTAGTAAAGACAAATAATGTATTGAACAGAAACAGGAATGGCGTTACTATAAAATATAATGCGAGAGACCAAAGTTTTGCATAAAGATGACAAAATGTATACTTTATTACTTATGAGGGTGAAAATACATATTTTTCATATGATTCCCTAGGGCCAAATAGATCAATATTCTAACCCGGACCTTCACAGGTCCTGTAGATTTAGAGTGAGTGAGGGAGTTGGGTTTAACTTTGTTTGAAACAGTACATCAGTAATATTACAGCATGCCAGAGTGATGGAGTAATGCAGGTCTCAGGCATTGAACATTTTCACAAAGTTGGTAACAGTATTTGAAGTCAAGATCAAGGACTGCTTTGGAAAACTTTGGACCCCAATGTGTGGCACCTTAAACGAATGGGCTACCTTATTCCCCTGTCCTCCTTTCACTTAAAAAATCACAAAAATGTAGATTTTTGTGAATTTTATCATTAAATTTATTTCATGACTGATATTTTAAAAAATGTACTATCAGTTTTGAGTGAGTGAGTGAGTATGGTTTTACGCAACTTTTAGCAATATTCCAGCAATATCACGGCGGGGAACACCAGAAATGGGCTTAACACATTGTACCCATGGAACATGGGTCTTCGCGTGACCTATCAGTTTTGAAGCAAACCAAACCTAAACTAAATCCTACTAAAGGACCTATCATGTACTATCATTATCAATAACATCACTATATTATTTTCCTAATTAGGCTGCATAGACACATGCGAATGAATCATAACAAACTAGGTGTCATACATACGTAGACAATACCTGGAGCAGCCTGTTGTCATTTGATGCAGGCATTTCACTACAGAATGGCTGCTTTCCCAACCTTGTTCAAATATAGTGACCCTGGGAGCACACTGACATTTAAAGGAATTTTGTCATCCTTGTGTGTAAACTGTACATGCGGATTTGAAAGAAATATTTTTCTTTTGCAAAAAAGATTTAAATTTTTTCTTTTGAATATCGCATTCATGATTTTTACAGATATAGTCTATTTTAACTCGAGAAGATCTGGGTTAGAATTGGTCTTCAGCAACCCATGCTTGTCATAAGAGGTGACTAACGGGATCAGTGGTCAAGCTCACAGTGACTTGGTTGACACATGTCCACATATCCCTACTGCATAGCCCAATGCTCATGATATTGATCATTGGATTGTCTGGACTCGATCATTTACAGACCACCGCCATGTAGCTCGACTTTCATGGAAAAATGGAGGGGACACTTTTCATTAATTGGTATAGAGAGGTAGAATTGTACAACTGACAATTTCTTATGGATGTGGAAAGGCTTTTGTCGCTTCTATATAAATATGACTGCCATGAATAGCTGCAATATATACTACTCACACTTTGATAAGGATCACAAAAATTCACAACTTTACTTAAACGTAGATTTATAATTTGAAATTATATCCATTTAAAACTAGATAAATAATGATATGGTAACCCCTCTTTAGGCAAACAGCCACTTTAATCTAACCTTATGCACTTGATACATGAGTAACCATAAAAATGATTTTCATGGAACCAATCAACCATTTTACAAATCATGGAACGAGTCAGTGACAAGTAAACAACACCTGTCAATAGCAGGGATCCACAAGATGCAATGACATACTGAAACCTTGGAACCATGCTAACAATAAGCTTAGATATTTAAACCAAATTTGAACCCACATTATAGTTTTCTGTTGAATCCATGATTTGATCCTTAGCAAAGTGTGAATAGTATAGTTGGTGCCATATTATGAAATACTCATTCGGTAATTCATTCACTTGCTATTAATAAGTTTGGATACTTAATCTTCTGGACCCGTTTCACAAAGCTATCATAGCGCTATGACTGTCATAAGTCTATGCTACAGTACAGGGTGTCATTGTACAAAGAGATCTTAGCTAAGGTGACTGTAACTCACATACCTTCACATAGACTTAAGGTAGTCTTAGCATTAAGGTTGTTTTGTACAAAGGCACCCAAAAGGTACGATTGCTACTAGGGGTGTTGCGATACGCGAATGTATCGATACATCGATACATTTTTACTGACGATACGATACGCGATACATGCTTGCGTGTATCGATTCCTATTTTAAAACTTTATCGATTCAAATTTTTATGCTATATCCATCTCTGTCAAAGTCTTGATAGTAAAATTATACCAGATGGCTCCGATAAATAGATGTAGCTAGCTTTACTTAAAAAATAAGTTGGAAACTAACAGCTTTTGTGATTGGCTAGACTATTTTGATGGACCAATCAGCGAGCGCGTACGTTGCCGGTAAGGTAATGCTATGAAAAGGCGCGATAATTATGTATCGCGATACGTATCGTATCGTGACCTTAAAATCGTGATACGTATCGTATTGTGAGATTGGTGTATCCTGACACCCCTAATTGCTACGAGAAAAGTTACAAGATCTTAGGCTTACGAGAGCTTCGTTAACATTTTCAAAATTAAAAAATTGGGTCTAGATTTTCAAAGCTCTCTTAACGCTATGATAGTCGTAAGTGCCATACATTAACATTAACTTGCAACTATCTTAGCGCTAAGAGAGTTTTGAAAATCTGGGCCCTGGAGGATAAGGGAGGGTGGGCTGGTGGTATTTACGTGATATTTAAATACTCTCTTTTATGATGTTGTATCTCATAACCTGTGCAAGCTCACATTCAGTGTTATTCGGAGGAAAAGACTAATCAATAATCAATGAAAGTAATATCTTCCTCATATAACCTGCAACAAATTTACTGTTGACAAAAATATTGTTTACGAACATGTTTTTTTTCTTCTATAAAACTAATTAATTTACAACAAACTTTAAATAAAATATATAATTAACAAGCATCCTGTTGGTGTTCCAAGATTTTTAGAATGTTCAATTTTTACCTTGAAAGTATAGTTCATGTAAGTGAAAGCCCTGTAAAGATTCATTTTTCCACAGCCCCCCATAAATCTGTGTGTCGTGTTCATTGAACTTCATTGATATCTCTAGGGCAAGTCATAAAATATCATTGATATTTTCAAGCTAATGATAAATCAAATCAACTTTTTTTCAGTAATGAAGTTAAATGGCCCACACAACCTAATGTCTTCTTACCAGGATGTTTATTGAATCACCATGGCAACCAGAATAACAGTCATTACTTCTAGAGCAGTAAAGAATTTTTAAAATTCAATTAAGGTGTTGTTGATTCAGGTTTGTAGTTTATTTTGTCCTAGTTTCTGTATCGATAGGAAAGTTAGCAGTGGTACATTTTTTCAGTATTGCAATAATAAAATACATTTGCTTATCTTCATCATAATCTCTGCAAAGAGAAGAATGAAATAAGTGTATGCTATGATTGTAACATACAATCCTTATGGAGAACGAAGACACAGAATCTTCCAAGACAACAAGCCTATTTTTTACAACTAGGTGGGCGGGTGAGTGAGTGAGTATGGTTTTACGCTGCTTTTAGCAATATTCCAGCAACATCACAGCAGGGGACAACAGAAATGGGCTTCATACATTGTACCCATGTGGGGAATCAAACCCGGGCCTTCGGCGTGACGAGTGGACACTTTAACCCTACCGCTACCCTACCGCTACCCTACCGCCCCGGGCGGGTGAGTGTGTATGGCTTAATGTTTCTTTTATCAATATTCAAGCAATATCATGTCTGGCTCACCAAAAATGGTCTTAACATACTGTACGTGTGAGGGCAAAGGAACCTTGGCCTTTGGCTTGATTGGAAAACACTTTAACCACTAGGATACTCAGCTGTTTCACTGACAAGGCTTGAATGAGAAAATGTTTTGTATGACATGTTTAAACAATATCACAAGTCATAACGGTTTCGCGTTTAATCAAACTAAATTGGACCTGAAGCCAATGTGTTTAGTACCAGGAACTATTGATCCATGATAATAACCATGGGTACCAGACACTAGGACTGCACCGTATTACCGGTTTACCAGTATATCGCAATATGCTTTACAAACGATACGTATTGCAATATTTTTTTCTGAGAACCGGTATATTGGGTAAAGAACATGAATGAAGTTTTGGTGATTATCTTTATGGTTTAGACTAAAATCTACACAGACTTCCATTCATAACAAGTGTTTTCCTTCGTTATTCAATGACAAAAGGTCATACTGGGGTAATACTATAAATTATATAAAAAATAAAATAAAATCCCTCACTATGCAACCTAATTTTGAGATTGCTGTCATCAGAACCATATATATGTTTAGGGACTTCTAATGTAGAAAATAGGATTGACATGTGCAATTCGTGTCACTCACTGTCAAACACTGAAGTTCCCAATATATCACAATATGTTTAGCAATACTGGTACCTGAATCACAATATATTGAAATACAATTAATTTGCCAATACACAGCCCTACCAGACATAGTTTATTTCTCAGAGATGCCAGAGCATATATTTAAATGTCCACCTCTATCCACTCTTATCTCCATCATAGTAGACTAACACTTAGTCTCTGAAAATATATAACTTGGATAGAACCAAATACCTCCATTTTTGAGTATGATAACAAGGTTAAAGTTCTGTGGGAAAGACTACAATCACAGCTCAAGCCATTCTTAGTCTACTCATTCCTCTTCAGCCCTTGGAAATTATTACACTTGAAGTCTCTTTAATACTAGAGAGTTCTTTTATAATATACCATTAAAACAAAGTAGGGGATATTCCATTTTGCGAGCATACCACTAGCCACTGCCAATGCATGTGAGAAAAAGTAATATATATCCATAGATGAAACATTTCCAAAGGAATGGAATAAATTGTCACATTTTCCCTTAATTTCTCTTCATCATCTGTTTCCTCCTTGGCTTCATAAATTCATCATTTGCATTTTCTCAATCTTGTAAATCCAATATCCCCTACTTTTTTGGAATGGTATATATGTTTTAGCTGAATATATACTAAAGAAAAAAAATAAGGGATCACATGAAAGCACAAGTGCAATACAAAACTTGTGAAGAAACCTGGAAAAAAATAAAGGAACACTTGTGCTTTCATGTGATCCCTTATTTTTTTCCTTCAGTATATATATATATATACATAACTTTATTTAAGGGACAAAACGTTCTACTATCAGTCTAGTCACACACTTTCACAAACTCCTCCATATTTTAGTCCGAGCTTGGGCAACCATTCTTCGAATTCAGTGCTTGGAACCTGTTCTCACAGGAAGTGCCTGCAGGGTGTGTTGTAAGCTACTATTTGGTCATACTTAGCAATTAGTACCTTTTGATCTCATTTGTCTCACCATCAAATCCCTGTCTAACATTATTATATTGACTACCATGTTCTTGCAGGGATACGAAGACAATGAATGTTTGTCCCTTCTTTCTCAACAATATGAAGTACATGAATCAGGGATACCACACAACTGGGATACCCTGACATGCAGTCGGCCAAGTCACTGTGTCTGACCAATCCAGTAGTCACTTCCTACAGCAAACTAAGGATACTGGGGACCATTATCTGTTTCCAAAATCCCCATGGTGACCAGTAAGGTTGCTGGGGATCTATATTCTTAACCGGAATCCCATAGGGAGACAAATATAACTTGTTGGTGACCTATATTCTAACCCGCAATCCATATGGTGACACAAGCACTGGTTGCTAGGGACCTATATTCTTACCCACCATCCCCATGGTGACACAAGCATAGGTTGCTAGGGACTTATATTCTTACCCACCATCCACATGTTGACACAAGCATAGGTTGCTAGGGACTTATATTCTTACCCACAATCCCCATGGTGACACAAGCATAGGTTGCTAGGGACTTATATTCTTACCCACCATCCCCATGGTGACACAAGCATAGGTTGCTAGGGACCTATATTCTTACCCACAATCCCCATGGTGACACAAGCATAGGTTGCTAGGGACTTATATTCTTACCCACCACCCCCATAGTGACACAAGCATAGGTTGCTAGGGACCTATTGTTCTTAGCCACCATCCCCATGGTGACACAAGCATAGGTTGCTAGGGACCTATATTCTTACCCACAATCCCCATGGTGACACAAGCATAGGTTGCTGGGGACCTATATTCTTACCCACAATCCCCATGGTGACACAAGCATAAGGTTGCTAGGGACCTATATTCTTACCCACCATTCCCAAGGGGTCAAAATGTGAAACACTGACGTCATGTGAAACTGACACCCACAGTCGTGCACAAGAGTCATGCCAGGTGACAATAGATATAGTGAAGCACAAGACACCAGGTATATGATAAATACAACAGGGATACTGCAATATGCAAGACTAAGCACAGCAAATGAGCTGGTGAGGATGAGGATATATATTTGGGTCAAGCAGAAACTGACATGAACACCTTTCATTGGTTGAAATAAATCGGAGCATCTGTCAATCAATCAAGTGCCTGACATCCATTAAACAAATCAAAATCTGAAAATATTCTGTCACAAGAGAATTTAAACAAAAGTTCATTGCACAAAAATGATACATAATTCTGAATCAGTCTTACTGCAATATATTTTTAATAGAGTGAATTTACATCCTTCATGAACTACAGTATTCTGCGAATGAGTGAATGATACTGTCTCACTATCTTATGATAAATGAACAATTAAAGCAGAGAAAACAGCACCTTGACAGAACACTTTTAACACACAGGATTAGAAAAGTCTATGTAAAATCACATGTTAAAGATAAAAAACAACTGACAATGTGTACCTAAAGATACACTATACCAAAATAGAATAGACTTACAGCTTGACTTTCAACATCAACAGACCTAGATCTACCTCCCATTCCTAATCTATCAATAGCAAATAGCAATGGGATACCAAGTTCACTTAGTTTAATCATTACATTTTGGATGTCCTTGACTGTTGTCCAAACAGGTGCTAATATCAGTTTCGAAGCCAAAAAGCAAAGCATACCTTACAGAGGGGTTTCTTTCTTGAGGGGTAGTCCATTGGGCCGTTGAGGTCCTTTCCTGCTGGATACTGCAGGGATGCTCGAGAAGCCATTGGCATGTATAGGACTCACTGGTTCCTTGGAATCACTGGACAGCTTGTTGTAGGTCGACTGCCCATGTCCATTTACTCCAGGGCTCTTGAGAATCTCTTGACTGGTCACTGCAGCTGGGCTTTTGGTGATGTTGGGATTGGTAACAATTCCATTCCGTTTCCGTCTCATTTCTGGTGAGCGCATGTGTAGCGCACTCTGTCCCATTACCATCTTGGTTGGAGAGTCCGGAACAATTCCCCGCTGCTGGAGAAGGTTCCGTTTCATGTTCTGGAAGTGTGCTGGATTGAGCTGCCAAACTGGCTCATCACAACTGTTCATGATCTCAGCATTAGGGTTAGTAATAATGTTGATAGTGGCAGAGATTTTCTCCTGTTTCAAGCTTGCACTTTTCACAGGAGATGGGTTGAGAAAGTTAATATTATGTTCCAGGGATGGAGAGACAGGTCCTCCGGAAGTCGGGAATTTGGGGGTTTCTCCAACGGGAGATGTAGGTGGGGACTGCACTGGGGATTGAGGCTCACTCACAGGGGAGAGAACTCGAGAGATTGGGCGAGAACGGTTCTTGCCCATAGAGCACTGTTGAAGCTGTTGGGTGAAGGTCAAACACTCACCATCCGCCTTTGTCACGTTCCCACTCTGCGAGCTCTGATTGGTGGAAGATGTAAGGTTGCTGGAGGATTTTGACGAGTTGTTGGAGTGGTACGATTTTCTCCGGTCAAAAGTTGACTCTGGTGAGTCGGATGGTGAGCTGTGGATAGGATGAGGGTGCCCAGCAATAGCGCCCCCTTTTGGAGGATTTGTTGTGAGTGGTCGTGTCTCATTACTGGAAGTAGAAGAGGAGCTCCTGCTCTTCGTACCATTCACTGGCATTGCACCAAAGTCTTCAAGAATCTTACACACAGACGTATGTCCACTCTTCATAGCCACACGAATAGGAGTCCGACCAAACTGATCAGCATGGTTAGGATTTGCGTGATACTTCAACAATACTCGCACAACCTCCTCATGCCCTTCCTGGGCTGCGATACACAAAGCTGTAGCTCCCTGGTTGCAAGTGTGGTCCACGTGTGCTCCCTTCTCCAGCAGCAGACGAACCACCTTCTCATGACCTTGCCATGCTGCCGACTGCAGGGATGTCCTCTGATCATTATCCACTGCATTCACATCAGCTTCATGCATGATCAGCAGCTCGGCCATCTCGAAATGGCCCTGCCATGCAGCAACATGTAGGGCTGTTCTCCCTTCAAGATCAACGCTCTCAACATCAGCACCGACCTCCAGAAGGTACTGAGCCATGTTGAACTGATTCTCCAGGGCAAGGACATACAGGGTGGATCTGCCATCTGCATCTTTGTAGTTGATGTTGCCACCTTCTGTAACCAGAATCTCCAAGACATCGCGATGACCTTCAAGGGCTGCAACTCGGAGAGCTGTCTTGCCGTCATGTGATCTGTGGTCGATGTGGGCATGGTGTTCCAGGAGACAGGCAACAACTGGAGCATGACCTTCCTGAGCTGCATGAATGAGCGGAGTTCGTCCATCGTTGTCAATCTCATTGATCTTGGCACCTTGTTCAATGATGATCTGACAAACCTGAAAAACAGAACAATGAACTAAGCATGGAGGAAGACATAAATGAGTAAAATCAACAGGGAAGTGTATATTTGTTTGTCTCTTAACGCCACATTAAGCAGTATTTCAGCTTTATGACTGTAGACTCTAAACAGCCATGTCAGGACCACCCAATGCGTGATATTGTGAACATCTATCCTTAAAATAGAAGCAACAAAACTCTTTTTAAAATCATAAGATGTCACACAATCATCTAAGTGACTGACAATTAGTAAATTCTTAAGATCAGCATAGGTGACCGGGGACCTATTTTGATATGGGCCTGATCCACAGAATGAGGTGACACACTGTTACATGCCTATGAGTTTGTTTGTTGTTTAACACTCCACTCAGCAATATTCAAGCTATAAGGCATCAGTCTGTAAATAATCAAGTCTGGACAAGACAATCCAGTGATCAATAGCATGAGCACCAATCTTCGCATTTGGGATACGATAACATGTCTCAATAAAATCTGCAAGCCTGACCACCTGATCCTGTTAGTCGCCTCTTACGATAAGCATGGCTTGCTGAAGACCAATTCAAGCCCGGCTCTTCACGGGTCTACATGCCTATGAGTGGGGCGATGGGGTAGTGTAGTAGTTAAACTGTCGCACATCTTGCAGAAGACCCAGATTCAATTTTATCACATGGGTACAATGAAGACCATTTCTGGTGTCCCCTGTCGTGATTTGCTAAATACTATGTATAAAAACTTCAAAAGCACAATGATACATAATCTAGTTATTGTGTTTCTAGGTTACAATGTCATTTGTATACCGTCATCTCATTCCCATCATTGTTTTAGATATATGGGGGGGGATTTCCCACAAATATTCATGCTAGCAAATCTACATTGAACACAGTGCATTGAGCCATATGTGGGCAGGAGAGAAGCAGATAGGGAACCTAGCAAAAGTATCAAATATACCTACATCATCATCAAGATGGACCTTATATGCTTAGTTTCTTCAGGTTAAGGGGTGGTAGGGTAGTCTAGTTGATAAGGTGTTTGTTCATTACATTGAAATCCAGGTTTGATTCTCAACATAGGTAAAACATACACATAACATTGGTGTCCCTTGTATATATACCACTGGAATAGTGCCAAAATATTAACATAAATTGTATGAAACATGTGCCCACTCACTCACTTCAGGTTGACCAGCACTTCACCGACAAATTATTTATTTTCTATCTTTTGTACTCTGTCCCACAGTCAATGAACCGCATTATTTTCCCTTCCGCCCTAAATGTTTCCTCAGGTTCTGAATCTCACATCCTAATGGGGCTTCTTTTCAGTTTTAAAGGAATTATTTGATTCTATCAAAAGTTTATATGTTCAGAGAGCCCCAATCTCAGACACTTAATATAATATTACACTGCAGTTCCATAACAGTTCACAAAAATTGTCCTCTCATGGTTCAACAACATAAACAAGCATTTCTTTAAGTTCTGGGCTTGTGGCAGTAAAACATACACTCCACTTATTGAACGCTAACATGTTTTTATATCTCCAATTTTCTTTGTAAATACACAGCTGGAAGGTTTCACTTGAGTCACATCTCCTGGAAATAACTAACAGCTGGTAACACGACACCTCCTGACAATAGACTCGCTGCTATCTCTCCTTGAAACATGCAACATACATGCCGAAATGCACACATGTTCATTTCACATAAACTGCTGACTCAACACATTTGTATTTCTAAGCACATGAGCATTACATAATTCTAAAGAAACATGATACGCCTCCAGCACTGGGTCTTACACATTGGTGAACAAACACTATCGATCTGAGAACGTACAGACAAGGTTTCCAGTTGATAATTTGTTAAAACTGGTTATGTTACAATGTTTTTTTATTTTCCATGTCCCAGGTCTTGTCTGCCAGCCATGTGGTAAGTTCATTGCCTTTAAGAGATTACCTGAATTGTCCTAAATCTGTTTGTCCTTGACTTTCTTCATAAAACTCTCTTTAAAAACAACCATTTCACAGTCACCTGTTCAATTACGTTTAGAATCACATCAAATGAATGCCATAATCACTTTTTAAAATCTCTGGTTTGTATTTCAGCTTTTGCCACATCATTTATCTTCTTGTCAAACCTGATATTAGTGATAGTATTAAAAAGAGATTAGATGTTATGTTATGATTTAAAATATGCTTATAAAAATTGACTTTCATTATTTTTGTTTTCTGTGCTTTTTCAATTAACAGAATTTCAAACAGTGTTCATTAAGTTTTTTAGTCCATTTCTCACTGCATATGGACTAAATTGATATGGTCCTATCCAGCACTTACACTAATATTAACACTTTTTTATTCCACAATGAATAAAACAATTATCAGATTTTGTTTTTGTTCATCTCACCTCAAGACACCCCTTCTCACATCATTGTCTAGTAAGTAATGAATATAACAAACTGTTTCTTGGTCTCAGGACTTGCTGTATATTTTTTGGCAAAACATGAATACCAAACTAAATGGTTCTAACAGACCAAAATTAGTGATTCTATTGAGCTCGTTATAACTATAGTTTACTGTATTTTCACAGATCCAGTGTCTAAGAGAGCAGCCATCTTCTGTCACTGGAATGGCCTAGGTATCACAATGACCTTGAAGGGCTGCAAATTGTGATGAGAATTAAAGTCTTCATTAGACCTCATTAAAAATGCTGCTGCTCTCTGTCCCCTCAAAAACACACCTGTAGCCAACCATGAAATCTGAGAACTTAACCTCAAGAACATTAAACCTCTGTCTCTATTGATACTACAAACATTCCTGCTACTGCTCTCTGTCCCCTCAAAAACACACCGCTAGCCAACCATGAAATCTGACAACTCAGCCACTAAAACATTAAGCCTCTGTCTCTACTGACACTACAAACATCCTGCTGCTGCAGAAGCACCTCCATGATCCTACAGCCTTCAATCCTCTGCTGGAATAAACAAGTAAATGTCAGAATGTTCCTGAGACAATGTGCTTTGCAGGAGAAGGCATGGTAAAAGAGTTATCCATCTATTCTTGTATGGTTAATCATGCTTCAACTGTGGCCTTGACTGGCAGTAGCATCTCAGCCACTTGCAGAGATCAAACAAGAAAGAAACCAGAGATTATAATTTTTGGTTTAAGGGTCGACCAACTGAAGTCAAAATCAGCCAACTGGAAATAAACTTGATTGATTTTTTCTGTTTGCTGTATATTTCTATCTATTTAAAAATATATAATGATGCAAGAGGAAATAGCCAATGATAAATATTTATCGACTGAATACACTGTGAGAGTAGCTAATGCCTTGTTATAACAGCAATATTACTTTGACTGGTGTTATAAAAGATGAATTGGCTATAGTTTCATGGTGATTTGAGCAATATTCTTGTTTTCTCATTTGATTGTTAACGCCGCACTCAGCAATATTCCAGCTATATGGCTGTGGTCTGTAAATAATCGAGTCTGGACCAGACAATCAAGTGATTAACGTCATACGCATCGGTCTATGCAATTGGGATAACATGACATGTGTCTACCAAGTCAGCGAGCCTGACCACCCGATCCCGTTAGTCGCCTCTTACAACCAGCATGGGTTACTGAAGACTAATTTAAACCCCCATGTTCACGGGTTTCCCAATATTCCAGCAATATAATGGTAAGGGACCCATAAATGGGAATTCAAACCCAAGGGTTCAGTGTGTCAAGCAGATACTGGAGTACACCACCACCCTATTCTGTAAACGGAGGTAGTACAGTTGTTGAATCATTTTTAAATCTTAATTAAAACTGTGTTTGATGCCCGACATGGATACAATGTGTGGAAAACATTTGTGCTACAGAGTTGCTGGAACACTGCTTGCAGTTGTGTAAGATGCCCTTGAAGACCTCACTAGCTTTTTAAAGGGTGCCTTAGGGTTTCTCATTTTAAACAAATTAATACTTTTTAAAATAAGTTTTACAAATAATTCTTTTCCCAACCAATGAGAATTTGTTTGGCTCTCATAAGACACAGATTCTATTTCCATCTGCCATAGTGCATCTAAAGTAAAGTGAAAATTCTTTTCTTTTTTTTTCCTCATTTGGATTATTTTTGACATTTTCAGCCGACAGACATATCATATTCACAGAGTGCATTAGTTCCAGTCTAGTTCTGTCTGCTACATAAAACAGATCACAGGAAGTTGGCCCGCTGGCAATAGGATCTGGATTATACACTTCACACATAAAGTTTTAATTTATCAACATGATGAATACTTGAAAAATTTATTTCAAGTGCTTTGACACAGTTTTTGGACTTTGACTTACACCCATTGTTTATTATGATGATTATCATCAATGATTTGCAGTAAATATACTGAGAGAAACAAATAAAGGAACACAGGCAAATTCAAATGTTCTTTTGATGATTCCCAGTTTTCATCACCAGGTTTGAATAGCGCTTTGGGAGGAAATCTGGGAATAAATAAAGGAACACTGCCATGAAGTAGTGTTCCCTTATTTGTTTCCCTCGGTATATATTAATAGACAGTCCATTACATTGGCTAATTCTCCATGAAATAAAACTTTGCAATTTAGGGAGTAGAGTTTTTATGGATGTCAACTTCTATATTATGAGGAACATGTTTCAGAGTGAGAGAGAAGTTGATGTCCATAAGTATATGTTGATATCTTTAAGTATATCACTTCTAAATGCCATTCAAAGACCTGATTTGCAATTCATGGATATCTATTTGGTCCAGTAGATCAGCCTGAGAAGTGAAAGGTCGTGGGTTTGACACAGCTAATTGATGCTGCCCTGCCTCATACTGCATTTATTCAATATCTGAGTGGGTATTGTTGTTACGTTTAGCATGGTATCTAGCCGGCTAGCACTATTACAACAATGAGTGAATCCCATTTCAAGTGTCTCTCGCTATGATATTGATGGAATATTGCTAAAAGCGGCATAAAAAAAAATACAGTCACTGCGCATGTATATACAGTGACA